GCGTACCGCTCCGCGCCGACGGAGCCATCCAGTCCCAGGCTTCGGATCACGTCCGCCTCGTCCCCTTCTTCCGACCCCGGCGACGTCCCCCGCCTCCGCCTCCGTCCCAGCACCGTCGGCGGGCGGCGCGCATCGCCCTCGCGTCGCGAGCCGAAATAGCCTTCCGAGTCGGCAGACCGCGATGCACCCGCACCCTCGACGGCGGAACGACCGCCGAGCACTGCCGCTGGCGTCGTGACAAAGGTGAATGAGCGCGAGCGCGAGCGATCCAGACTGCTGCGCCCCGACCCTTGTTGCCGGCGTGGCGGCTCGGCCACATCGACACCAGCGTCGATGGCGGGCGTCAGCGTCTCGGAAAGATCGCCCGCACGCTCGCGGACCTGCCTCGGCTGATCGCTGCGGCTCGACGGCCGGCGAGAGACGAGCGACGAGATCGACCTGGACCCCGCGGAGCCGGCCGGGCGGATCGCGTTGCGTCGAGACAGGGACGTCGTGCGCGTCAGCGAGACGTCCGGGTTCGCCTCTTCCCGATCGGACGAAGAGGGTGCCGCAGCGTGTTGCTGGTCCGAGCCGAGAAGCGCATCCGAGCTGAGTCGCCTAGAGGCTGCCTCCAACGCCGAGGGGAGCGTCCCTCGCGGCTGCCGAGGGTCCGCGATGTTGGTGGCCATCCGGCTGGCCCTGTCCTGCGCGGCACGCAGTCGAGCAGACCTCTGCAGCTCCAACGCGTGCTTGGCCTCGTCGCCCTCGAGGGCGTGCAGCACGCCTTGCAGCCCCACGCCCGGATCGTCTCTGGCATCAGCGTACGCCCAGGCGCCCAGCAGGTCGTCTGAGGCCGACGGCCGGGCCGTGGGCTCGGCGCCTTCACCGCCCAGGTTGCGAGCAAACTTGTAGGGATCCTCGTCGTACGGCGTCCAGGTCATCCTGGCAAAGGCGCTCGCAACCGGATCGGCCGGCCTGCCCTCGGAACGTGGCGCGGGGTCCGGAATGTCTCGGCGCGAGCGGTGCACAAAGTACCAGCAGCTCAAGCGCCACCGCCACGAGTCGCGCAGCTCGCCACGCTCGGCCGGGACGAGCTGGTCGAGGCAATGGAGAAAGAAGCGGTGGGCGACCTCTTCCTCGCTCAGACGGCCCAGGCCGTCGGCAGCTGCGGTATAGCCCGCGTGCTCCGTGCCCTGGTCATCCTCAGCCGTCGAAGCTGCGCCAGTCTCAAAGAGGCCCGCACCAAAGGCTCCGGCGGTGCTGTCGGCATGTTGCTGCAGCTCCCGCGCCCGGTTGCGGGTGCGCCATAGCGAGGCTCGGAGGAAGCTCGACTGCATGTCGTGGCCGCGCTGCCGCTGGCGAGACAGCAGGCTGTGGGCGCTGTTGTCGTCGCCGTCGTCCTGAGCGTCGTCGCGGCGGTCGGCCGTCGTCGCCCTGCTCGAGGCTGGTGCGCTGGCCTCTGCGCGCTGATCTGCGGGCAGCCTCCTCCACAGCTGCTGGTCGGCGTCCTCCTCCATCAGCCGAGAGACCCAGACTTGGCCAAGCGCGGTGTCGAAAGCCTCGAGCGTCTTGAGCAGCGCCGAGCGCAGACGGTCGACCTCCCTGCTCCCAACAAAGTCGCCCAGCTGTCCGGCCACGTCGATAGACCCGGTCGCTGCGAGCCAGGGGACCGTTGATGATGCACGATCCCCGGCGGTAGCCTGTTGCGCCGGCGGCTCCTCGGCGATCTCGGCCCACACCTCGGCCAGCCGCTCGTTGATTCGGCGCTGCAGAAAGGACCGCAGCACCTCGACCTCCCTGCCGATGCGGATAAAGGCGCGGCGAACGCGCGGCCCATTGGGCGCAGCGCCCTGCGAGTCGGGAGCTTCCCCTTGCGCATCGCCAACACCGCCATCGCCTGTCGCCTCGGGTTCTGGTCCTATTGCCGCGTCGTCGTCGTCATCGTCGTCGTCATCGTCTCCACCACCGGGGCCCAGTCGGGCAAGGGCGTCTCTCATAGACTGGGGCAGGGATTGTTCGGCAGCGGCCTCGCCACGGCGTGGTGCCAGGCGGCTGGCAGGTCGACTTGGGCCAGCGCCTTCATCGCTGCTACTAGGGCTTGTGATGGTGTCTGCGTCGCCTTCCATCCGTCCCGCCGTCGTCCGATCCTGCCCTGCCATCCGGGTCCTGCGCGCCGAGAGCGACTCTGCGGATGCGATCGAGTCGCTCTCGAGGTTGTCGGCGCGAGCGGCGGCGCGGGCGGCCAGGCTGCGCTGGAGGCTGCGGTCGATGGCGTTGACGCGGGCGTTGAGGGAGCGAGACAGGGTGCGCGAGCGTACGCCTTCGCGGGTCGTGATGCCGTCGCGACCGATGGTGATGGTCATTGGCGCGCGGAGGTCGACGGGCGGATCGAGGCCGAGGTCGTAGCGCGATCGCGAGGGTCCGCCGGGGTCCTGCAACGAGCGCCCGAGGCTGCGGTACTCGCTGGTTCCGACGTATACGCTGGGGCGGCCCCGCTGTTGGTGGGAGCGTCGGCGAGAAGGGTCGCTGGCTGCCAAAGTGGCGCTGGAGGGCGATGATGCGCGCTCGCTCGAGTAGCGACGACTTGCGCGTCGATGCAGCTTGCGGGTGAGGAGCTTGCAAAGGCGGTGCAGGTCCGGGTCTTCGGGTTCGAGCTGCTCTGCCAGCTGCTCAAAGGTCAGGGCGGGTTTGCGGCGGCGACGGGGCGGCAAGGAAGGCGATGCGGGTCGCGGCGTGGCGATGTGGACATGGCCCGAGCTGGGGCCAGGGTCGGTGCCGATGCCGGTGCCCGTGCCGGCGTCGTCAAAGAGGGTGGTCCTGCTGGATGAAGAGCGCAGTGGGAGAGCACGATTGGAGCGTAGAGGAGGCCTGTGGGCGAGATCGGTGTCTGACTCGCCGCTGGTGGTGTCGGTCGTGTCGACGTCGCGCGGGGAGCTTGCTTGGTTCAGAAGGCCCATGAGCCTCGACTCGCGGGCCGAGAGGGACGAGTCGATTTCGCCCTCATCGTTGAGCTGCTGGAGCGCGCCGATGCAGGCCGACTTGACTTTTGCGAGGAAGACGTCGTCCCAGTGGGCGGGAGAAAAGCGACCCATGGCAGTGGTGGCGGCACCTAGGCCATGCGAGGTGGGCCGTGCGGTGACACGAGGGATGTTGCGCCGATGTGGTGGTGGTGGTGGTGGTGGCGGTGGCGGTGATGAGGGAGGCTGTGTTGAGCGAGGTGGGTCGTGGTGGGTGATGAGGGCGAGCGGCAAGAAGCTCAGGGTGCGGGGTGGCGGCGATGATGATGGTGCGGAGGGAGGATGGACGGGTAGCCAGCCGGCGTCAGGGTCGGGTTTGATGCGGGGAAGCTCGAGCTGGAGCTCCAGCAGCTAAGTCGAGGCGGCTGCCCTGTTGCGCTGCGCCGGCGGGCCATCCGTGGGGGGCTACACATTCATCTGCCACTCTGCCTTTGTCGCGCGAGAGGGCCACCTACCCATGTGGAGGCTTTGCCACGGCCAGGGCCATTGACCCGCTTCCTCAGCCGGCTTTAGGCCCTCCTCGTTCTTCCCTGCCTGCTTGTGTGGCTCTCCTTACCAGCCTGTCGCTTTGCCACCACCACCACCACCACCACCCCATCCCCACCATCCTGCCCCTTATCCTCGCCCCTCAAACAAACACCGCCAAGCATGCCGATGCCACCGCCGCTCAACTTCCCAAAGTGGCTCGCGGACAACGCGCACTTGCTGCAACCGCCCGTGGGCAACTTTTGCCTCTTCCGCTCCCAAGACTACACCGTCATGGCCGTCGGCGGGCCCAATGCGCGCTCCGACTACCACTTCCAGCCCACCGAGGAGTTCTTCTACCAGTACAAAGGCGCAATGCTCCTCAAGGTCATCAACACCGATGGAGAGTTTGAGGACATCCACATCGGCGAGGGCGACATGTTTATGCTCCCCGCTTTTACGCCACACTCGCCCGTGCGCTTTGAGAATACTGTCGGACTCGTCGTAGAGAGGACGAGGCCCGATGGTAGCCCAGGTATGTGCGGCCCCGTTGGAGCGACGATGCCGCTTGCAATAAAGTGACTGCTAGGCGCCCACGCCTACTCAGTCAGGCTGACGGCGCTCGTTCCTCCTCCTCCCTNCANCAGCTGCTNCNGNTCGCNTC